GGTTTCAGTCCCCTTGGGCCGGCCGAGGCAGCGCGGGTAGCCTTGCTCCGCCGCTCAGTGCGCTCTCTCCTCCCGCTCCCTAGGTCGGAGAAGCCCAACTGGGATTACCACGCAGAGATACAAGCTTTCAGCCACCGGCTGCACGAAAATTTTTCTTTGGATCTTCTGAAGACTGCGTTCGTTAACCCGTGTTACATTGAAAGCGAAGAGGAGAGACGCCGGAATCTTGGGCTGGACAAGGAAGCGGTTGCGCTCAGCCTCCAGGAGAACAGCAGACTGGCGGAAGGAGGGCTGGGGTTTTCCCGTGCCTACCTGGCGCAGCGCTTGGAAGGTGCCTACCCCCATTTGCCTGCCCAGGGGAGAGGAGCGCTCGTTGATTTTCTGACCAGCCAGGAGCTCGTTTCTTACGTGGCTCAAAACCTGGCTGTGCAGGACCTGACGCTTTGCAGAGAGTTTCCCGTCCCGCCAGACGTGCTGCAGAGGACGTTCTTCGCTGTGATAGGAGCCCTGCTGCACAGCAGCGGGCCCGAGCAAACGGGCATCTTTGTCCGGGTAAGGCATCGCTCCCCGTGCGGTTCGGTTCTGACAGCAGTAGCGTCCGCGGGGCTCGGCCGTGCCGGGACAGAAGGCAGAGCCGGAACGGAAGGCTGCCTTGCGCCGCGGTGCCCAGAGGTACGGGGCGACTGGCAGAGCTCGGCACCACCTGTAACGGGACAGTCCAGCAGTGAGATCTGTTGGGTGGGGGGTTGTGGGGTTTTTTTGGTTGGTGTTTTTTTTTTTCTTTAAGAAGCACAGGCTAGTCAAGTACATAAAATTACATACTTCTGGTTTCTGATGGTGATATTTTCGTATTGGCTGACATTTGCTAAGGGAAGGTGTTACGTTCCATGCACTATACTGCCAAATAATGAAACTGTTCCATGTAAGGTCACACGTATCGTTAACAACAGAAACCCCAACAACATTTTATGTAAAGCAGGGGCTGAGATCACAGGTTTTGCATGCAGGAGTGCAAGCACCTAAAGAGATCTGGTACACTGCATTTTAATTGGACATTTTTATAGAATGGAATCATAGAATGGTTTGGGTTGGAAGGGACCTCAAAGATCATCCAGTTCCAACCCCCCTGCCATGGGCAGGGACACCTTCCACTAGACCAGGTTGCTCCAAGCCTCATCCAGCCTGGCCTTGGACACTTCCAGGGATGGGGCATCCACAGCTTCTCTGGGCAACCTGTCCCAGTGCCTCACCACCCTCTCTGTGAAGAATTTCTTCCCGATATCTAATCTAAACCTCCCTGTTTTCAATTTGTACCCGTTACCCCTTGTCCTGTCACTACAGGTTCTTGTAAAAAGTCCTCTCCCAGCACCCTTGTAGCCCCTTCAGATACTGGAAGTATCTGTTGCTTTTGTAACAGTGTCCTTTCAGCAGCTACTTCCTTTTCACTTATTCCTAGTTTTACAATGCAGAGATGTTTGTTAAAACCTCATTTCTGGCACGGGACCATTCGGAGGTATCTGTAAGAGCAAGTGGCAGTTACCTATTGGGATCACTCTCTTGCCTGTTGAAAGCCCCGTGGGTTTGCATGTTCCCTTCAACCTGTTCGCAGAACCCTTCGGATGTGCCACTCCTTGCTTGGACGCAGCATGGAGTTGCGACCACGTGCTCGGAGCTGTGCTTAGGCGCTGGATAACCCCTCTCTCGGGCTGGGGCTGGTCCTTCTTTATGTCTGGGCAGTTGACTTTGCCCAAGGCACGCGTCCCGTCAGTGGCGAAATCAGAACCGGAGCAGCAGAGCGTAGCGACACCGGATAGCTCTGCTGGAGCTCTGGGCAGCGCTGTCATTCATGCCAGCAGTTCATTGTCAACTGTATTCATGCCTCTTCAAACTGTAGTTCTTTAGCAGATACCAGCAGCCAGAGCCTTCGTTACCTTTCCCATTAATTGTAACTTCTAAATATTTTTATTTAGGATTTTTTTATTCCTCAACTGATTGGAAAAGACCTGTTTGAGATCTGGAAGGTTGTAAATCCCATGGGCTTACTAGTGGAAGAACTGACCAAGAGGAATATCTCTGCTCCAGAACCCAGAATTACCAGGCAGCTGGGAGTCAGCACGGTTCTGCCGCTGTACTTTGTTGGGTTGTACTGGTTAGTACAATTTTAATTCAAAGTTAAGCGGGTTTAAGGGGGGGGGGAGGGAAGGATGGTCTTTGCTACTCGTGCTCTTTCGGCAAGTTAATACAGAAAAGAAACCTTACAGTCACTTCCATGTAAAATCAGCCATTTAAGCCTTGGCAACAGCTTAATGGTGCATAAACAGACATCTCTGACTAAAGGGCTTCGAAGTCTAAATCAGGCGCATGGAAGAGGCTGGCTGTATGTTCTGGGTGACCTGACAAAGGACCTTTGCAGGTGCCATAACTGAATGGCTCTGGAGGGACCACAATTGTGTCCAGGGCTTAGGGGAAGGGTAGAGAGACACAGACCTCGGGGGAGGTGGGATTGGGGAGAGACATTTCATATTGCAGAGAAGCTTTTTAGTTTCCAAATCACAGGCGTCGTTAACTGGGCAAGAGGAGTGTCTGTACACAAACAAGGCTTAGGAAGTGTCAGTCATCCCTGGTGCGCTTGTCTCCGGCGTGGTCAGTGCCTGTCCTGGTCACTTGCCAAGAGGTAACATTGCTCCTCTGGAGCAGAACAGGATCCGCTTCCACCAAAACCCCTGTCATTGTGGATTTGCTAAGCGAGCTGCAGATAACCACAGGGGAGGATGGCCTTAACTTGCTCTGACCTATCACGCTTCGGTTTGCCATACGCCTTCTAAGATTTGTTATCTTGTATAAGAGAAAGAAACTGTGATCATTCTTTTTCTGGAATCCTTGGTGTCCCTTCACAAACATCCAGTGCCACTGGATATCGAACAAACAGAGCTGAGATTAAACAAAGAACTTCTCCGTGGATCCTTTCAAAGAAGTTTTAAAATGCCTTTTTTTTTTTTTTTTTTTACCAGGGGAGGAGGAAAGACTTTGGTCTTTTCACTTTGGTTTAGCTAACCAGAGTAATGAATTTTCCTATTTGTGCAAGGGTCTGACAAATTGAACACTGTAAAGAATCAGTGATACCTTAGGAATCTAAATTAAGAGTAGTGTTCTTCCAGGAGAGGGATGCATTTCTGATGGGAGTTTCCGTTGCTGAACATAGAATAACTTATCTTGGCAGGAAAGATGGACGGAAATACTTACATTTGTGTCTGTGTAGAAATTACCGTCAGTATCCAGACACTGGAGGAAAAAAGCATCTAGCAGGCCTCATTCGTGATGCACAGCAGTGCTCAGGATTTCATGATGAAAATGTTTTCCTTCTTTTTCCCCAAGCGATAAGAAGATTATAGCTGAAGGTCCTGGCGAAACGCTGCTGGCTGCAGAGGAAGAAGCCGCCCGTGTGGCGCTGCGGAAGCTCTATGGGTATACGGAGAACAGGAGACCTTGGGATTACTCAAAACCCAAACAAGGATTGGCAGCTGAAAAGGCTATCAGCAGTAACTAGATAATGAAAGACGTTTCTGGTTTCCTTTAAGAATTAATGCTGAATATAGGTGTATTGAGGAAAGCAAAGTTCAGTTTGGTTTTCTGATCTTAAGTGCTTGAAATTCTAAAATCAAATACAGTATTAAAATAAATAAAGCCTCTTACTTTTACAAAATGATTAATGTTTGCTCATTTTCCTAAGCATAACACAAGTACCTCGTTTCTGAAAGTTTGTTCTTGGGCTGAGAAGTTTTTCCATGCATCACAGTAGACTGTTTTTAAGGGTGTTCAATAACGTGTGACAAAGTCTTGCTGTATAGAAAAAGCTTTCGTAAGAGCTGCCCCGGGGATTGTTTTGAGGGTCTTGTTAATGAGTCCAGTTACACATAGAGCTTTGATCTTCGAGTTGCACCTGGATTCATTTGCCCTTGACCTTGGGAAAACATGAAGTGTGATGTCAGTGGTATCCATGCCAGTGGTGGTCCAGTCAGAACAAAAAACAGTGGGCATGGCACTTTTGAGGTCTCACTGCTCACACGCAAACTTTCTCTGCCATGCACACTGGTTTCTGTTGTTGGAGCACGCTCTGAAAATTTTTAAAATTTGTAAAAGAGTAAATAAGGGTCTTGAAGGCCTGAACCCGAAGGAGGTGGGGAACGTTGTTTAATGCTAGGCTATTAGATAAGCTGCAGCCTTCTCCTTTCCTGTTTACTCCAGGTACTTAACACTTGCTCCTGTCTGGCTGCTCGGTGCAAGCACTCATGTGACTGAAGAACTGGGTCCCGTGAAATCAGTGTTTGTGGTGTTTGCATCGTCTGTAGCTGTTCCAACCTAACTCCAAGTCGACGGAAAGTCACTTAGCAGTAGCTTAGGTACCTGCATGGTGTTCCTGTTAAATGTCATGGGAACTCAGTGTGTGTGTGCCAGAAGACATCAGAGGCGTGAGGACTCACTCTTGGAATTGTTTCCTTAAAAGTTGAGTGAGTGAAAGTCTATTACAAACTGGGACTGAGCCCTCAAAGGAAAAAAGGACGAAGCTGGATGTAGGATTGTGGTTGAGGAAGTGTTTCCCGCCTTATCCCGTTGGGAGCACTGGTTTAAAAAGCCAGCAGGTAAATGTGACTTCACTAATTGGGGGAAAAAAAACCCCGAATCGGAGTGGTTTGATGTAACTGTCCCTGACAACATGCACTCGCCGCCTCAGGCCGGCCTTGTGTGAAGGACACTGGGCAGCGGAAGGGCCCAGGCTGCAGTCGTGGCCGCTAAGCAGGTCTGCGCTTCGTTGGCGGGTGGTGCGTTCCCTGCTGTGAGAGTGAGATCACACTGGTCTCCTCCAAGGGAACAGGTTTATTACTGTGTTCACGCCAAACCCCTGGCTGGCTGCGGTCCGTGTCTTCGTATTTGGTGTGACGTGCATCTTCAGCGTGCGTAGAACGCTAGCGTGGTGGGATAGCGAAACTCTTCTGCACTCTGGCATGGGAAATTGGATGTGTGAAAGCATCAGGATGAAAAGGAGAGCAGAAAAATCAGTCTAGCATAAAATATGCATGAAATTTCTTGTGTTAAGTGAAAAATTCTAGCTAGGTAATCTAATATCGCTTATATAAGCAAAGCCAGTAAGGTCACTGTATTCCAGGGGAATAGCAGCAAAGTGTGAAAGAGGATAGAAATTACTCATGCTATTTTTAGTTTCCAGATGAGGTATTTCTCTTACCTTTACCTATTTTAAAAGGACAGTAGTGAAGGTGGGGTGGTGTTGGGGTTTTTTTCCATGAGGAAGATTAAACGGTCAGCAGCTGCTCAGTAAATAGCCACTGTCGTAGTGCAAAGCTGCACAGTGGAAACAGTTGGTCCATGTGGCAGAATGAGAGTGCTGGAGGCTGTCGGTGATTCTCTATATCACAGGGCATGCTGCAATGCAGCTCTGGGTGCACCTGCAAACGGGGGCTGGTCTGTGGGAAAAAGGTAGCTCTAGAGAGAAAGTAAACACTGTCGTCCCTTTCGGGTTTTGTGTAACCCTCATCATGTTTCTGCCAGTCTGTGGCAGTTTTGTGCTTGTGAACTTCCGGTTTTACGTTCAAATAGGTTACCTGGATTGCAACAGTGCAGGTGTTGTACGACTGTCGGGGACCTCCTGATGCTGAACACAATCCATCGCCGTCACAGCTGCGGCCAGGGGTCTTTTCCTAAGCAGCTTGAGCTCCATTAGGTCTCCAGCTCGGATTGCTCCAGCTGGGGACAATTGCGGAGCCCCACTGTTGTGATAGGGAAAGTAAAAAGCTTGCCTGACCTCTGTAGGTATTTGTTGCCAGCCGTGCTTGCTTGTTCTTATACCAGTGTTCTCCATCAGAAGAAATCCGGATTTTAAGTGATGTGGAGGAATTTGCATTTAATTCCAATGAGAGGAAAAAGTCATTGAGTTTCGGACACGCTTGAGCATTTCCCCTTAGGCGGCATCTCAATAGCTCCACAATCCTGTTTTTTCCCTTCATTAGACTGGGACGCTGACATAAATCAGAGCAACATTTATTTTTATGATAACTTGAGTAACATATTTTTGATTAACGATTACCTGTCATTTGTATTTTAATACTCTTTCTCCTGAAGGCATGATTTTAGTCTAAAATACTTAATTTCGGTACTTTATATAGGCAATCAAAATGTGAGAAGGTAGGTGTGTCTATTAAAAACCGGTATTCTTAGTAGTCATCCAGATTACTTGGCCAGTTGTTAAGTGGCGTTTGTAACTCTTAAAAACGTGCATACTTGCAAAAAAAAAAAAAGTTCTGAAGGGATGTTTTGATATCCAGGTTCAAAGAAACTTTAACGCTATTTACAGCAGGTTGTTTTAGTAGAGAGAGGCAAATCAGAGTCCTTCGCTTCTGGCAGCAGATGCTGTAGTGTCACCATCCTCACATGTTTAGATAAACACTGAAGCAAATCTTTGGCTCCTCCGTCTATTTATCTCTGTCTGTAGCCCGTGGCTAGTACTTGAGTGGGAGGACAAAAAGTGCTGCTGGCAATTTTTCCACCTTTTAGAAGTGAGAAAAAATCCCACTTTTGACTGATGTTCCAGATCAGTTTCTGTAGTGTCCAGGTCTGGATGTGTTAAAAAAACCTTCTGTGCTTGTGTATTTGCTTCTAGAGAATGATGCCACCGTTTACGTCGTACATAGAAATTGCTCACAGACCCACTGCCACACTCAGCTGACAGTTTTGAGGGGAAGCATCTAGATTGGTGATTAATGCCTCTGAGGTACTGCGGGGGATATTGCCAGATCAAACAACTAATTAAGGCTGGCTGAATGGAAACTCACGGCGTGTTCCTCAGGGCCGGAGGAAGCACACCAGTGGAGCACCACTGTCTTACATCAGGCCTAAACCTATGAGGGAAAATTCAGAGTAACTGAGGTTCACAGACATCATTCCACAATCTGTTCTTGTGGAGTATCATCTCCTTCATGGAGGCGGCCCTACCTAATTAAGAAAATACTAATGAAACTGAGAAAGTGTTATAGAATTAGTCATGTAAGAGCAGAGGATTAATGAGGGGAAGGCTTCCCACCTCGAGAGGGCAATGATTTGTCTCAAAGTTCTGGCTTGGTCCAATAAAGAAATTCAGTTACTTTCTATTGAAATTATCATTAGAGAACTAGAGGCACAGCTCATCCTCTACGTTATTGGCAAAGTTATCAGTGCTTAGGATGATGACGGAACAAAATGATGTGTAGAAATAATTCCAATGCCAGAGAATGTTTTAAGGAGAAAAAGAGTCCAGAGAGAAAATGGCTCCATTTGAATGTTAGTCAAATGCTAATCATAGAATCACAGAATGGTTTGGGTTGAAAGGGACTTTAAAGATCATCCAGTTCCAACCCCCCTGCCATGGGCAGGGACACCTTCCACTAGACCAGGTTGCTCCAAGCCTCATCCAGCCTGGCCTTGGGCACTTCCAGGGATGGGGCACAGCTTCTCTGGGCATAACAAAAATTACCATCTTTAATTTCAAACGACAGGAACTGAAAATGTCTATAAAATAACCTTCTACAGTCCATCAGAAAAAAATGGTTGCCTTATCTGAGAGTGTGTGTCTGAATGTTGGTTATTCCCTTACACAGACCTGCATCAAGTAACGACTGCAGCAGTGAGCTCAGAACTACTTTTATAATTTGCGAGATTGGAGTGATTTATGCATCTTTCTGTTTATGATATCAGAGTACAGTTCGGTGTTGTTCTTATGTTTCTTTTGCAGTAGAAGTATATGTCAGAGATTGCATTTCTATCTCAAACATCATGCGGTGCTGTTTCAGCATGTCTTCAGGCAGGCAGGCAGGCATGTTCGACAGCCTGTATCCGCCCGGCAGTGAGACAGCACTTTGAAGGAAAGGGAAAAAAAAAACCCACAACAGACAACATTCATATCGGCGTTTAGCAGATCCCCACGTGGCAAATGATTATTGCTTCTAGTGCTGCTTTTAATACTTGAGGATGAACCTGCCCTAGCTGTGCATCCCCACACAGTTCCACTTCAAGCCCTTGGTGTTGTATGTTTTTCTCCCAGTGCTGGGAATCTGCACTGACTCTTGGCGGGCTGTGACTTCAGGCATGATGTCCAAGTGTGTGGTTTGTGACTTCCTTGACGCCGTCGGCGTGCTGCGTGAACAGTAGGCAGGCTGCTGAAGTTCACGAAAACCTGAACCAGGAGCAAAACTGTGGCTTGTTCCCCGGGTTCAGAGCTACGTAATTTATTTCATGGTTTGTTCCTTGAAAGATTCTTGTTGAACTTGTCAGTTCTCAATTGGGTGTTTCAGCTGCCTGCTGCAAGCTTGGTGGTAAGACGAAGTGTTTAGGAGATGATCGTGGATCAGACTGAATTTGGTTGACCTCATTACCCCGTGAGAAAAATGGGCAGTTTGAAAATAACATTTGAATGGGTTTTTTTGCTTGACTGGAGTACTATATTCACCATTTCCTAGTAATTAAAACCATCAGGGACTAGAAAACAATAATTACAACATA